TGGGGCCACGAAGCGTGTGAGGGGTGTGCCACAATGGGGGGTGGAACCGCATGCGGGCGCAGCCACTGGGGCCTTCGGTGGAGCTCCCTATGGGGCCACGAAACGTGTGAGGGGTGTCCCAGAATGGGTGTGGGAGGGGGAGGAGGGGGGAGGAAGGGGAGGAGGAGGAAGGAGGAAGAGGAGGAAGGAACGCGGGGCGACGTCTTTTCAAAACGAGGACCCAACACCACAGGATGGTTAGGAAAAAGAGAAGGAGGAGGAAGAGGAGGAAGAGGAGGAAGAGGAGGAGGAGGAGGAGGCGGAGGAGGAGGCCTCTTGGGCGCTTCTTGGGGCACTCTTGGGGCCTCCTGGGAGCTTCCTGGGGGCCTCTTGGATGCTTTTGGGAGGCCTTTGGGGGCTTCTTGGGGGCCTCTTTGGCCGTCTTGGGGGCCTGTCTGGGTCGTCTTGGCGCCCTTTTTGCATGTCGCATGTCTAGGAGCGTCCCCAGTGGAGGCCTCTGGGCCTCTGGAGGGGGCCTCTGGAGGGCCTCTCGGGTTTCCTGGGTGCCCCTCGGGGCCGAGGGTTCGCAGCGTGCGTTCGGGCCCCTCGGACCGATCATGTAGGGGGGGGGGGGGGCGAACGTTCTTTGTGATTGTTGGATGTTTCAAGCGGTGGCGAAGCATGGCGTTCCTATAGGCCTACCAAACAATGCACCAATAACCCCTTGTGGTCTCCACGAAATGTGCGTAGAACATTTCTGGCTGGTGCGGTCTTGTTTTAACACATCGGTATCACGGTATCAGAGAATTGATTTGTGTTTGGAACATTTTTGGGGTTAAGATCGTGTCGTGGTAGGCCCATCGGAATACCTGGACAGGCGGTCCCTGCTCAAATGTTATTGTGCATCCTGGGGGGGGTACCCTCGAGTGTTCTTCAGTTTGACCAGCGGGGTCTCGTATCCTTAAAAGGTGTGCTTCTGTCCTGGGTCCGGCCGTCGTCGGGCGGGGCTGGGACAAGGATCGATTCGTTCCAGAGCGTTCCAGGACGCTGTCAGGGAGCGCTGGATCGCTCCAAGAAGGCAGCGGCGCCCGAGACGTCCTCCAGAGCCGCCGGATCTCGGAGATCCGTCCTCCTCATCCTCCTCCTCCTCCTCCTCCTCCTCCTCCTCCTCCTCCTCCCCCTCCTCCTCCTCCTCCTCCTCCTCCCCCTCCTCCTCCACCTCCCTCCTCCTCCCTCCCTCTCGGAGATCCTCGATTCGTCCTCCTCCCAACCCGTCCTCGTCCTGGCTTCGACGGGACGTCCGACGCACTGCTCGCAGAGCTCCGAGGGACACATGCCGACCGCTGGCGGATCGAGCGGGCTCCGCCCACGCGCTTCAGGGGACAACGATGAGGTCTAAGTCTGGGTAGTCGAAGGCCAGACTGTCAGACTGGATTGGGCCCCAAGGGCCAATCTGGCCTGGCCATATTGGAGGATTTGGGTTATTCGCCAGACTGGATTCGCGTTGGCTCCCTCGCCAGATTGCCCCCGTTTGCCAGATTGGGCCTGCCAGATTGGCGCCAGATTGACTTCGACTACCCAGTAAGTTCGGGCCGAGCGAAAGGGGGGGATAGGGAAAGGGGCGGGGTCGACACTTGCTGCATGCAGCTGGTTTCGGCCCCGCCGAGGGGCCCATGCCTCGATACATGGGCGCCTCCCAGCGCCGAGAAAATCAGCTACGTGAGCTGATTCTCAAACCCTCCCTTTGCTTTCCCCCCCTTTCGCCCGGCCCGATAAGTCGGGCCTGTCCCTCTACAGGAGGCATATTCGAAAACAGTCAAAAAATAGTCGGGGGACAGTGTGTGAGTATTCTTTGTTTTTTCGGGGCACTTGTTGAGTATTTTTGTTTTTCATGCAAAATCCGCATGCAGGGAAGCATGCCCGACCTAACGATACGTGGGATAGGCACAAGGGGGGGATGCGTCGACCCCCAGTCGCCCACTGATCGCCGACGAGTGCCAGTCCCAGCCTGCCCAGGAGTGTGGGGACTCGCCCTCGGGGGCCTGTCGCCGATCTATCGGCGATGTATCGCCGACTCCAAGTGAGGCGTTCCAAAAATGGCCTTGCCTTCGAGGATCGAGGGAGTTGTCGTCTCTTCCGCCGCGGAAGACGGCGGAAGGGCGGCGGAACGTCGGCGGAAGCAGAACGAGGCCGCCTCCGCTGGCGGAAGGGCGGCGGGAGGGCGGCGGAGGGTGGCGGAAGTAAAGAACTGCGCCCCCGAGATGTGGCACCATTTTTGGGTTCAGGGTTGTCGGAATTGTCCAGGTCGAAGTTCCCCCCCAGTGCACGTCGCCCCCTCGATCGTCACGTCGGGCATGTCCCTCCTACAGGAAGGAGGGATGTTCAAACATGGTAGACACATTAGTCTGGAGACGACTCCCCGATTATCTGTTGGTTATTTTTGTGTGTATATATATATATGTATGTATGTATGTATGTATGTATGTATGTATATATATATATATATTATGGTTCGTCGACGAAAATCCGCCTGTAGGGGGACCTGCCCGACCTAGCCCTGTCGTTGCTCCTCAAGTCCACGCGCTGCTTCCCCCCAAAGGCCGGCCTGCGAGGCGGCCGCTCCTCGGGCCCCCCCAAGGGGGCCGTCGGGCCAGGGGCGCCCCTGGGCGAGCGGGTGTCCGCCCCGCGGGAAGGGGCCGTCGAGGCTTCCTGGCGCCCGTGGGCGGAGCAACGATCCTTCGTCGGGGGGTGTGGGAGAAGACCGCTGCCTCCTCAGACCGACCTTGGTGGGCCCAGCAAAACGCATCGGATTCGCCGTCTGGCCTCCCTCTCGCGCCGATACATCGACCTAGTCATCCATCCGTCCACACATCCATACATCCATCCATAAATATCTATATACATATAGATGTATGGGCATAGTAATGTAGTTAGATACATATATATACATAGACACATGCTGACACACATGTGCATGTCTGCCTCTCTGTTCGTGTGTGTATGTATATATATATATATATATATATATATATGCCAGAGTGCCGGGGCCCCAGTCCCAGGCCAAGGCACCTTCCTGGATTTCCCCCCGCCCCCTTCGTTCGGCACCAGAAATTCGGGCCACCTCTTCGGGGCCTCCCAGCATCTTCTCGGCGGCCCCAAGACAGATGTCGAGGCAGACCACGCCCGAGGATTGCTTCGAGACGGCCCATGAGGCCCCGAAGGCGCTCCAAGAAGGTTTTTAGATGCTCTTCGAGTGGTCCCCAGGAGGCCAGAGTTGCCCTATTCCTTTTTGGGAAAACGTGCATTGTGACATATTCGCCTAGTATTCTTGTTTGATGGTTTTAGCGGCGTCTGGGCCCAACCTGCATGAGGCCGAATTTCGGCCGCTGCGCCAGGAAATGAACGACCTTATGGGCCGCGTACACCAGGACTCTGCCCAACCGGCGTATGGGGCATCTACGCTGCAAACCCATACGACAGGAGTGGGGAGCTCAGCACCTACAGCATCCACAGGTCGAGCAGCATCAGCAGCACCGCCAACACTGATGCCACAGAGTTGGGCCGGAGCGGTCGGTGCTTTCCCAATGGCGCAAATCGGTAAGCGACATCAATGATGGAGTCGCTGCGCCAGCTAATCCACTTGCCGATGTGCAGCGACCGAACTGGGCCTACATGCCATCAGACTCAGCATTCGGCATCAGCACACCATGTGGATCAAGCTCGACGTGGCCACCCGATGTCGGAGTCTCCCATCGATCTGGCCCTCTTCGACCAGCACTTCCGCACTGGCATGAGCCAGCCATCTGGGAGAGTGGCCATGTGGTTCGCCGGCCGCGATACTTGGATGTCCAGCGGCGTGCGATCCAAATGCGGAGTAGGCTCCACACTCGACCACAACGACGACACATCGACGAGCTCCACAGCACCCTTCTTGCATTTGAGCTCTTACGACAACAGGACGAGCATTGACGGCAAGCTGGACAGAGTTGGACAGAAACTCCTACCAATCCACCTCCTATGCCGGCTGCCGCACCACCTGCACCCCGCATCACGGTCTTTAGCGGCGACGTGCGGGAATGTCCTTTCTGTATCGAGGCCGTCGTACACGGTGACCGAGTAGTGCGCCTACAATGCCGCCACATCCTGCACCAGGCGCGCCACATCTTACAACTTTTGCAGAACACCGACGCCCACTTGGTGCACCGCCCGGCGTGTTGAGGAGTGGCTCACGTTATCCCCGATTTCCGCTTCATTGGTGCAGACCGTGATCTTACAGCGGGTTCGGCAAGTGTGTTGTTGGCCCGCGCGGCAGACCTTGGCGCTCCGGTTCTGGCACTTACGGTGCCGACCCGGCAGATGCCAGACGACCAGAGCAGGACGCCGTCCCGACTCTTCGGCCCGCACCGACCCCCGGAACATCACGGCAGGATTTTACACAGTATTCCTGCAATGTTCCCAGTTTTGTGTCCGCTGCCGACGCGGCAGTACCGTGCGACACCCGCCTGGACTTCCATGCTCCGCCGCAACGACCGACGTTTCCGTGGTGGCCGACCTCGTCACGTACAGACCCGAGTCCACCGACCGACTCAACATACGACCTGGCGAGTTCCGACCTCCCAGGCGGCCAGCTAGGTGTCATTGTGGATGCCGGCGCTTGGATTACTCTCTGAGGGTATCGCGTTGCGATGAATCACCGACAATTTGGCATCGCTCGGACGTGTGCATTTCTCCTTCGGCGAGGACCATCGAAGAGCATCCTTGATCATTTGGCGAAAAAGCCACGCACGACACCGAAACAAAAAAACACAGGGAATGGACGTCCGAGCGATGGCCAGACAGAGCTGTGGGGGCGAGGCTCTGGCCCACAGGCGATAGGCTCATGTCCCCGCTCCACTGCCCAGTGGGAGGTACACTGCCCCGTTGAAGCCACAATCGGGCCAGACGAGAGGGGGGTGATAGGGAAAGGGGGGTTGCGAAATCTGCTGCGCGCAGCTGGTTTCAGTCCCGCCGATGGGCCGCTTCCTCGATACATGGCCGCCTCTGGCGCCGGGAAGCGCCGGGAAAATCAGCTACGTGAGCTGATTCTCCAACCCCCCTTCGCTATCCCCCCCTTTCGCCCGGCCCGATACAAACCGCGATGGCGCGACCGCCCAACGCAGCATGCGTGCTCCTGCAGTGGAGGGCGATGACTTCGATCCCCCTGCCTTTTTTGTTTACATTCCACGCAGTCCAACAGAAGAGTTGTGGAGACATGCGCACCGCATAGATGCCTCACGTTTCAAGGGCCTGGGGGCGGCGAAATCAAGTGGAGCCCAGGCGCCATGCACTTCGACTTGGAGTCGCCTCGAAGTGGCCACCACTGCATGCACGCCGATAACTTTGACCAGCTCCGAGCATGAGCAGGGGAACAGCCTCCACAAGTAGAAGTGGTCAACAGCCACCGGGACAACGACTCCAACGACGCACGCGAGTGTAATAAGCTCAGAATACAGTTTGTCAGCCCCAGCGCAGGGGCACCAGTGCGGGGCGCACTTTACGCAGCAGGCTACGACCGATTCGCCTGCGCGGGCGTCAGCGTCGCGACGTGCGGTCGCGGTATGGTGCCAACGGGCGCGGCCGGTCTTGCACCCCGGGCACTTGCGGAGTGGTGAGCCAGGGCTACCGATGCGAGATCAGGGCGCTCCTGCGCGACACTCGCTCGCGGACGTTCGCGGTCGACCAGGGCCAACCCAGACCCCCGACGTCGTGATTTTTTTCCTGACGTCGACCCCCCGAGGTCTGGGCCCATTCCCCAGGACCGGTTTTTCGTCCTGAGTCGTTTTCTGACGGTCCCGAGGGCCGGCAAGGGCCCCCGGAGTCCAAAAATAATAATAAACTTCTCGTCGTGATTTTTTCCGGACTCGAGGGGGTCTAGGAACGGATCGCCCAAGGCATCGCATCATCACGGGTCCTGAGATAGTGGTCGTCGCCAACCTTTTCCATATTTTCGCGGCTCCGCGGGCGTCGGCCGCGCCCGCGCGACGCGCCTCGGCCGCGACCCCGTCCTGCAAGCATCGGGCACTGCGGCGCCAACAGGGTCCGAGGGCAATTCTGTCGCCGAAGACCCCACGCAACCACTACTCAGAGCCCCGAATCATCAGGGGTAACTCGGATCAGGGATAACTCGGGTTCGTTTTTCGGGAATCCAAACCCGAATTACCCCGGGCCCGAGTTGCCCCGGATAACTCGGGCGTCCAGAGCCCCACATCATCAGGGGTAACTCGGGTCAGGGCTAACTCGGGTTCCTTTTCCGGGAATCCAAACCCGAGTTACCCCGGGCCCGAGTTACCCCGGATAACTCGGGCGCCCAAACTACAGCAGGAGGGGGAAGGGTCAGCCTGCAGGGCTGGCCCAGCCGACCTGCCCTGCAATAAGTGGGCAGCAGGGCCAGGCCATCCCGTCTGGGCCTCGGGGAGAGGAGGGAACCCATCGCTGGCGCTACAGGAATGCGGCCACGACGCCATGCGCAGGGCGACCTACGCGAGCGCCACTAGTCCTTAGCCCGACGACGCGCTTCCCAGCGCCAGTTTTCGCATGTTGTGGATGCGTGCGACACGAACCGGATTGGAGTGAATGGCGTGCCCGGGGCAAGGGCTCCCGGCGCCGGGGTCGTGATCTTCGGACTGCGCGGACCTCGGCGCTCGGCGTCGCTCGGACGTGTGCTTTGTTTCTTCGGCGAGGACCACCGAGGAGCATCTTCGATCATTTGGCGAAAAACACACACACACACACACACACACACACACACACACACACACACACACACACGAAACCGAAAACAAAGCACAGGGAATGGACGTCCGAGCGATGGCCAGTCAGCGGCGATGCGCAGCCACGCAGCAACTCACCGACGCACGCGCGCTGTGCTGCAACAGGAGCAGAGCTTGCCGCGAGCCTCTCGCTCCAGAGGCCAGGCGCAGTGGCATATCCTTTCGCGACGCTCACTGAAGCACCCATTCCAAGCAAATTCTCGCGGCGACATGCCCTTAGAGGAGCTTCGCTTCGACGGGTCGACTACGCGCAGCAGTTCCCACCTGGGCTCGATGTGCCGCGACGCGCTGCGTCTCGTGCACATTTGCCGCTGCTCTTCAAAGCCGGCAGCGCACGACGGAAGGCGCGCCTTCGGCGAGGCGCAGCGGCAGCTTCGACGCTGGACTCGAACCCTACTTCCTGTCCTACGTCGACTGGCAAGCACGACGCCGAACAGCGCGCCAAAGAGCAGGATGCCCAGCAGCGCGCGGAGGACCACAGAACACGAACGTCCCGCGCAATATATCCGCAAGGGCCTTCGCCCCCCGTCGCTGGCTCCCTCTCTCGGAGAATGGGCCATGGGAGCGAAGTCGCGAGGCTTTGGCTTCGCCGCGTAACAGACATTGAACATCATGCGAAGACGATGGGACATTGGCAAGGCGAATGGAGATTGCAAGTCCATTGTTGTACTCGCTGTTGCATGTTCATGTGCTCCCGTACGCCGTGCCCGAATCTTCTCCCAGAACTTGAAGACGTTGGAAGTCTCTTGTGCCCTGACCGCGCGGAAGTGCGTGATGGGGTGCCCCAGAATTTAAAATACGTGGCAAATCCTTTGTGTTTTCGGACCCTGAGCCTGTCCATCCGCGCGAGGGGTGCCACCGAATTCCAGAAATTTTGAGAATCCTTGGGCTTTCGGACCCTGGCCCCGCCGATCTGCGCGAGGGGTGCAACTGAATTTTAGACAGGTGGCAAATCCCATGTTTGTGGACCCTGAACCCGCCAATCTGCGTGAGGGG